AAAAAAAAAAAAAAAAAAAAAAACCCGCAGTGAATCCAAATCGCTAGAAACGGGGTCTGAGAGTTAGTATTTTTATTTAAAAAACAAACAAAAAGGCAAAACCAAAAAAACCCGGGTAATTCTGAGGGGAATCAGATTTGGGACACGTTATAATAGAAGATCTCTAGGGTCTCTTCCTGTTTAACATTCTAGTTGACACTGTAAATGAATTTCCCAGAAAAGAAGTAAGGAAGGGAGGATCCTAACACCAGAAAAATGACTATGCGTTCCGAGTCCACACTTACCATGCACCCCAGTTTTACTAAGCGGTCCCTCATAGGAACAGCGGTTGATCCGGGATTGGAAAAGGGTGTGGTGTCCACGGTATGTCGGCTATAAAGGAGGTGTGCCTTTTAAAAATGTTTTTCTGCCATCAGTAGCAGAAACATTTCCTGACTAGAAATACATTTGGTAATGCCCCTGAAACATAAGCTAGACGTCTCAGTCCCGTGTCTGGCTATATATAACAATGGAGGTCAATACGTTCCTCCAGCGTGCCCGCAAGAGTTGCAGGAGAAGTCAAGGTTGGGGCCTGCCTGCTCCGAGGCTAAGTGAAACCGACTTGGCAGAAGTGTCTGCGCTGCAATTACACCCGCACGTCCCTTACTACCAGAGAGGAGCCGTTTCGCACATACCTGAGGGTCCTCTGGTAAGACTGATCTCTTCCTCAGTGATCAAATAATCCACTCTTCCGTTCATGTTTTAGTGCTCTCCAGGCTTCCCACCTGGGTCAGCTAGGACTCCGCACATGTGAAGGTGAATCACTCTTGGCTCTGTAGCACGGCACTTTCGGTTTCAGCAGCCTCCAGATAGGAAGAGGACGCCGCGAGCGCTAGGAGCGCTGGGAATTCTGGGAGTCGTGGTTCTCGCAGCCGACATAGTCCGTTATTTCTCCTGTTTCTCAAGTCAAAATGAGAGGTGAGGAGAGAGCCCATTATGATCCTAATTCACTCTTGAAAGCGTGAGAGAGGCACAGTAAAGGTAAGAGGCATTAGTAAATTGATATTGTTGAGGAAAAATTAAAAATAAAATCTCCTGCCAACCCAAGAAGTCCACTCCACAAATGTAGGGGGAAAAATAAATTTATTTTTCACTAAGCATTAAATCAGACCGCGATAGGCATCACAGGCAACCTGCTAATGTGATTGCGAAGATAGAATGAAATCTTACCCTTTTACATAGCCAAGCGGATACAATCCATTACATGCATGTTCTCATGAAAGAGGACTTGACAGCACCGTTTGCTATACATTCTTTAGTAGTTCACACTTGGAGTGGCCATTTGTGCTAGTTAGTTGTCCTTAACCAAAGGAAAAATAAAACTTCTCTATCTGTCCATATGACAATATCATCACTATCAACAATATCAAACAATATCATTAATATTAGACACAAGTAAAATTTTGCTGAAGATCATTCAAAAGCGGTTGCAGCAGTACATTGATAGGGAACTGCCAGAAATTCAAGTCAGATTCAGAAGAGGACGTGAAACTAGGGATATCATTGCTGATGTCAGATGGATCCTGACTGAAAGCAGAGAATACCAGAAAGAAGTTTACCTGTGTTCTATTGACTATGCAAAGGCGTTCGAATGTGTGGAGCATAACAAATTATGGATAACATTGCAAAGTATGGGAATCCCAGAACATTTAATTGTGCTCATGAGGAACCTGTACATAGCTCAAGAGACAGTTGTTCGAACAGAAAAAGGGGATACTGCGTAGTTTAAAGTCAGGAAAGGTGTGTGTCAGGGTTGTATCCTTTCACCATACTTATTCAATCTATGTGCTGAGCAAATAATCCAAGAATCGACTATATGAAGAAGATCAGGGTATCAGGATTGGAGGAAGATTCATTAACAACCTGCAATATGCAGATGACACAACCTTGCTTGTGGAAGGTGAAGAGGATTTGAACCACTTACTGAAAAAGATCAAACATCTTTGATCAGTATGGATTACAGCTTCCAGTATGGGTTACAGCTCAACATAAAGAAAACAAAAATCCTCACAACTGGACCAATAAGTAACATCATAATAAGTGGAGAAAAGACTGACGTTGTCAAAGACTTCATTTTACTTGGATCCACAGTCAACACCCATGGAAGCAGCAGTCAAGAAATATGCATGCGAAAGCTGGACAATGAGTAAGGAAGACACAAGAAGAATTGATGCCTTTGAATTATGGTGCTGGCGAAGAATATTGAATATACCATGGACTGCCGAAAGAACAAACAAATCTGTCCTGGAAGGAGTATAGCCAGAATGCTCCTTAGAAGCGAGGATGGTGAGACATCATCTCACATACTTTGGACATGTTGTCAGGAGGGATCAGTCCCTAGAGAAGGACATCATCTTGGTAAAGTAGAATGTCAGCGGAAAAGAGGAAGACCCTCAATGAGATGGATTGACACAGTGGCTGCAACGATGGGCCCAAGCATAACAAGGATCATGAGGATGGCTCAGGACCAGGCAGTGTTTTGTTCTGTTGTACCCGGGTTTGCTATAAGTCGAATGGACTCAAGGACACCTAACAACATCTGTATGACAAGCAGGTACTTAGGGCTTGGGGCAGGGTACCTAGGCTAATTCCCACCTGAGGGGAGGTAGGGGCATTATCCTCCGAGATGTTTATATTTCCAAGAGTTGCCCTTAAGAAAAAATTCCTGGCTTGTAGCTGACAAAAGTCTTATTTAGCTTTTTAAAATAATTATATACATATCAAAGGGACAGAAGAAGAATTTACAATTGCAAGTTTTGTCAAGGAAATCTTCTAATAAAAGGGAGAGGAGAAAAGATGTCTTTCCCTTTTGGCAACATGGAAAATTAAATTTTTAAGTTTACCATTACAGTGTGACTGGTAGATGACCTAGCTGTAACTTTAGCCCAGCCCTCCTGACTTTGGGGATAGGACATTACAAAGTATGCTTGATGGAAAGGGGTCAAAAACTCAAAAGCCATCCATGTTTAAAGCATTGAAAGAGAAAATAGAGAAGGGAAATAAACGGTGGAATTCCTTAGAAGCACCAGATTCAGTTTTGTTTCCATGGGATTTAAAGTCCGCTTATATTAGATGTCCTTCATTTTTTGATAAACTTGTAAGTACTGCTTTACTATTTGGTCTTTTAAAGATTGTTATGAACTTACGAAAAAAAAACTTATAAAGAGATGCCTTAAACTTCTACCTTATAGACCAAAGAGCCAGTTGCACTTCAGCCTATTGAAAATGCCCATGTCTTATTATATTTGGGAGATTCTTTCACGACAGATCATATATCACCTGCTGGAAGCATTGCTAGGAGTAGCGCTGCTGCTAAGTATTTGACGAACAGAGGCCTTACCCCTCGTGAGTTCAACTCTTACAGAGCCTGAAGAGGCAATGATGCTGTGATGACAAGAGGCACTTTTGCAAATATCAAGCTTTTTATTAAGTTTATTGGAAAACCAGCACCTGAAACAGTTCGTTTTCCATCAGGACAAATGCTAGATATTTTTGAGGCTGCAGAGCTGTACCAGAAAGAAGGTATCCCACTGATTATTTTAGTAGGAAAGAAATATGGTTTGGGAAATTCCAGAGACTGGTCTGCCAAAGGACCATATTTGCTGGATGTGAAAGCTGTTTTGGCTTAAAGTTACGAAAAAGTTCACAAAGATCATTTGATTGGAATTGGCATAGCTCCACTTCAGTTCCTTCCCGGAGAAAATGCAGATTCCTTGGGCCTTTCTGACAGAGAAACATTTTCTTTAACACTTCCCGAAGAACTGTCTCCTGGAATTACATTAACTGTAAAGACAAGCACTAGAAAAGTGTTCAGCGCAATTGCTTCCTTTGAAAGCAACGTGGAAATAACGTTATACAAACGTGGAGAATTATTAAACTTTGTGGCATGAAAATTCTCATAGTATCTACTCACTGTGGAGACCTTTCATAACTGAAACAGCAAAGCTGTTTGTGCTGGACCAAGGCATCCATACCGTGGAGCCGCAGCCAGTCCCATTATGCTCACTTATCTCATCCATGGATGTAAACGATTGTGAATCAACAGAGTGACTAAAATGAAATCTTCTTGATTTTAAATAATAAACAAATGGTACTATTAAAAAAAAAACTTAAAAGCCTTAAGGGCCAGGAAGATGACTTAAAAGTGTGAAGCAACCTGGAATTGTTGCTGTTGTGTGCTGGGTCAATTCCTACTCCTAGCTACCCTATATGACAGAGTAGAACTGTGCCCCGTTAGGATTTTCTAGGCTGTGATCTCTACAGGAGCAGATAGGTCTTTTCTCCTGCAGAGCCGGAGCCAATGGTTGGTTCCAGCCGCTGACCTCTGGGTAGCAGACAAGCACTTAACCATTGCACCAGTGGAGCTCCTAACCTGGAATTAGACAACAGGAATTGGTAGGAACCTTGGAGGATTGCAAAGCGGACGTCCAATGTAAAGGCATTCAAATTCAGGTTAAAAAGCAAACCAAACAAAAGCTACTGTGTTAAACAAAATAAGACAAAAAGCGGATGTAGCCAGAAGGCCCCTTGTTTGCCAACACTGAGAGAAATTAATATGAAATAGTGAAAAGAACACAGGAGTTGATTCCAGAAGATCTGATCTCAAATTTCAGTTCCATCTCCATCCAGTTTTCTGACTTTGAACAAGTAACCTGTTGTTGTTGGTTGCTGAATCGGTTCCGACTGATGGTGACCCCATATATTGCAGAGTTCCATAGGGATTTCAAGGCTGTGACCTTTTGGAAGCAGATGGCCAGGCCTATCTATCAAGGCATCTCTGGATAGGTTTGAACTGCCAACCTTTTGGCTAGTAATCGAGTGCTTAACCTTTTGCACCACCTAGGGACTCTTACAAATCACCTAACATCTCCCAGCTCTGTTTCCTCATCTGAAAAAAGGAGTGATAATAGCTCTTTAAAGGGTTGTTGAAAGGATTAAATGTGATGATTTTTTTTTTTTAATTGTCAACTTAAAACTCAATTAGATTCGTGCCACCCTGACTTCCAACCCTCCTCAGGGGTGGCCTGCATTTCACCTTTAGGAAAACAGCTCAATTAATTTGGTTCAACACAAATTTGTTAAGCATCTGATATATGTCAGGCAGTATGCTATGTGCTATAGATATAAAGTCAAAAGATGAAAAATAAAAGATAAAACATCTCGTGGTAGCCAAGGCTCTTTCAGTTTGTGAAGAGAAGCAAAATGGTAAGGATGAAAAATAAAGTTAACATGGTGTCGTGGATTGAATTGTGTCCCCAAAAATACGTGTTGTAAATCCTATCGCCTGTGCCTGTGGCGGAGCCCTGGTGGTGCAGTGGTTAAGGGTTATGGCTGCTAACCAAAAGGTTGGCAGTTTGAATCTAGCATCCGCTCCTCGGAAACCCTGTGGGGCAGTCCTATAGGGTTGCTGTGAGTCAGAATCTACTCAAAGGCAATGAGTTTGGTTTTTATGCCTGTGGTTATAATCCCGTCTCGGAATGGGTTGTCTTTGTTATGTGACTGAGGCAGGATTAGTGTACAGTGCGTCTTGAATCAGTCTCTTACAAAACATAAAAGAAGCAGATTAAGCAAGCGGAGATGGGGGAAGATAGATGCCAAGCCATCCAAGGAACCAGGAAACAGAAGCTGAAAAAACAAGGACCTTCTCCTGGAGCTGACAGAGAAAAACTTCCCCTAGAGCTGGCACCCTGAATTCGCACTTCCAGCCTCGTAAACTGAGAAAATAAATTTCTGTTTGTTAAAGCAATCCACTTGTAGTATTTCTATTATAGCAGCACTAGATAACTGAGACACATGGTATGATACCTACAGTAATAAAGGCATAAAGCAAAAATGCAGAACAG